CTTAAGGTCCTTTCCAACCCAAACCATTCTGTGATTCTATGCCTTTATGACTCTATGATTATATGGTTATATGATTCTATGATTATGTCTCACTTGATTCACCAATATGGATTATATCTATGCATATAATCCGTATGCATAGCCTGCAATCTATATGCATAGCTACAGTCTTCACAGTGACTGGGCTCCACTATCTGCATATGTCACCAGCTTTTTCAAGACATTAACTCAGCCGAACCAGGGCAACATTGAGAAAATTCTGTCCTAGACCTTCCCACAGGAAGAACCTTTCCAGAGAACCAAGCTCTTTTACATGGTAATTCAGCTTGGAAGGGACCTCACGAGGTGTCTAGTCTGACCCCTTGCTCAAAGCACTAAATTCAAAACAGATTGTTCAAGAGCAGCAGTAGCATTACCAGATAAAGCTAATCTTTAAATGGGTAACCAGTATTGTACCTCATCCCATGTCCAGCAATGCAAAGCAGAGGGCTTCAGCATGCTATAAGTGCTTTCTTAGATTCCAGTCACTTGCAGCTCAGGAGCTTTCTGAATGAGATGTGATTTCTGTACATTTACTGTATTCTCATGGATTTTTCTCCCACAAACTTGTTCAGATTCACAGTGAACTCAGGTGAAAATATTAATGGTGGAATTCAGCTCACAGAAGGTTAAATCTCACTTGGCGTGCCTACATATAGGCTTCTGCTTGTTGTCTGGGTGCTCTTTCAGTCAAAGGAGAATTACTCAGTGCAAGCTAATGCAGTCAAGACTGCTTCAGCTGATCAGATATATGTGTCTACGTACAATGCACTGATTTTGGCAATTACGTAACCCATTTCTTGGGTGTGTTTCTGGTGCTTCTGTCAAAACAGTGAATTGGAAATTAAGTCTAGTGGAACAATTCATGTGAACAAAAAAGGAGAAGTCTGGGTTGACTCCTGTGGTGTGGGAAACTGTGTTGGAGCTGAATGTGGGCTTGAGTGTTTCATTTTAATTCTTTAGAACATATTTGGTTACTTAATGCACTGAATGCCCTCTTCAAGCCTCACAAGTCTGAAGAACGAAAAGCTCGGGGAGTTACTGTGCTATTCCTTGCCTTTTGCCATTTTTTCTGTTGTCTTAATGAGCATCACCTAAAATGCAAAGCATCTAAAAGTTATTGTACTGATATGAGAAGAGGTCAGAGATTTCCTGACAGATATATCAATAGCGAACAGAGCATCAGCCCACATATGCTGCCCATATACGTTGTTGTGACTGCTGGTAAGGCAGCCTACCAATGCAGGGAAGAAAGTCATTGCAGTGTGGGCATATGTCACTGGAAAGTGATCCCTTCACCCCAATACTACAATAAAAGTGACTGTCTTTATGTTTCAAGGCATTATTTTGTCTGTTTAAGAACTAGATATATGGTCACCTGTATTGTGGATATTCTCAGTTGCAGAATGCTGGATTTTAAGACCAGCAGTGGTATTTTGCCTTTGTTTCACTGACAGCCACAGGTCGTCCTTCCCTATAATGTTCAGTACTACTTCCTACTAGATTCAGATTAAGCTATAGACAGCCCTGAGGCTTCTGGAGTCAGGTATTCTGATAAAATTCAAGCTTTCCTTAAAAAAACCTGAATAACATTTGGAAAGTGCAATGAAAGAGTAACTAACTCGTGTAGGTTATGACTACCTGGTTCTGCCAAGAGCTTAAATCAGCAGATTCAAAAGATGCAAAATGTGTCGTATTGCATTGTTAGCTGGGTAACACTTACAAATCCACTGTGACCAAGGATCATAAATCTAAATATAAACACACACACATATGTACATTTTAACTCGATATCAAGAAATGCGCCTTCCTACTACCCATCTTATTCTTTGACTGGGATGTTGTTCCATGTGTTGCTCTACCCTGAATGGTCCCAACTACTGCTGCATGATACTGTATCTCTGACAAGTAGGCAAACAATGAATGCCAATGATGCTACACTTACATACTGGAGATCCACAGACCACAACAAAGCAGAATATCCAAGGTTTGTCTCAGTTTGCCTCAGTTTGGAACATGGCCCAGAGTCCTTACTCTCACAGTGAAATCTTAGATCTCTGGCAGGCTGCGTAAAATCACATGCTAGAGGAAAACAAGAGATTTCCTATGATATTTCCAGGTTTTCTTTGACTCTACACAGCCCATCAATAACTGTTGGTTAGCAGGGAGAATGACCTTAAGTCACATCAGCTGTAGGATGTGTTTTCCTGGGGGGAAAGGAAGAATATAATTTCCGCCTCTCAAAGATAAGGATTATCACAGGTTTTAAAAGCATAATTTTGCTCTTATTGTCTTTTTTTCTTTTATAGAAGCTCTTCAAGTGAAGCAAAGACTTTGTAGGTCAGTGTTTAATCGTTTGAAATGCCAAGGCTTTGTCAAATACTAACATCAATGCATCAGACATCAGATACAGATTCTCTGATGTTTTACAACAGATGCATTACAATAGAAGAGAATTTAGTTTCTTATCCACTTACCCATTTATCTGCATATCACTCACTTATTTGCCAATATATCTGCATTTTAAGTTTGACAGTTTGGCCTTCCAAATGTGAGAGGATTTTGTAGATGGGGATGACTAAAATAATAGCATATAAATTTAGTGATATATCACTCATTCAGCATGAATTTCTGGATCATGTAATTTTCACTGCCAGCTGATCTATATATATATTTGCATTAGACTTGCATTTCTCACATATAAGTGCTATTAAAGCTGAAGGTTTCATTAACTGACTTCAGTTTGTACTGTATGCATGCTGAAGGAACAAAATGCCTGCCATTTCAACCAGAATTTCTTTCTGCCTCTAGATGAACTAGGTCTAACTCAAAGGATATCAGTCCTGTGTATTAAAGATCAAGATATAAAAATATACTAATAATGCTTCAAATTGACAGGTCTTACAGATCAATGTCTTTTCACTGGTCTAATGTAGCTGATCAGATTTATGCTGGCTAATGACTCAGATGATTTCTTTCTAGTGCTTAGGAATTTGAAATTATGCTGCTTTGTTACAGAGAAGAAACAAGAAAGTGAGCAGCAAAGGTAGAAAGTGAAAGAGTTCAGCTAAATATCTTCAAGGTTATTTAAATATTGGGTTTGGGTAAATTAGGATGTAAAACCACAAAAACAGATTTAAAACATTATTTCCCACAGTTCATTGTTCTGGACAGGTCACAGTAGCATGTCATTGTTTTTTGCCATGTATGACCTAGTAATTTTTAATGGAAAGGCTATGGCAGATTGGATAACCTACTGATAGCACTGTTACTGAACATAAATCTTGCAGACTCTGCTTCCTACTCTGAGTCACTCACATTCTCAGTTTCTCTGGCCTCTATCCAAGCTCGTGTTTCATACTATCTATACAATGTAGTTATTTCTTCTTAACACAAAGTTATTCAGCTAAGATACAGGTTTCTCTTGTCTTAACTAAGATACCACTGATTATACCAATCAGAAGAAGAATTAAACCTTGTTGTAACACTAAGTGGCTTAACTCCATGTTTTCTTGTTAAGCACAAGTTTCTACAGGTAATCCTGAAACATGACAGTATTTCTGCTGTATAATGTTCATTTATGTGAATTACCATGTTTTCAATATGTTCTACAGCATTTACCTTCCTTGTCTAGTGGAAGGTGTCCCTGCCCATGACAGGGGGGTTGGAGCTAGATGATCTTTAAGGTTCCTTCCAACCTTAACCATTTTATGATTCTATGATTCTACATTAAGGAAAAACTTTACTGATTTCATGATTAGTAATGCAGTCAGAATACCTACATCTGTCAGTGTGTTTTTCTAGAGTATCTGTTTTACTTCAGTAGGAAATTGAAATGCTTCCCCCATCAGCCCCTTAGGATGCCTGAATTGTGGATAGTTTTAAATGGCTCCCAAAGAAGTTGAGCAAGGTTCAGTTTGACTTTGACAAAAAAAAATTAGTCTACACATGAGTTAAACATCTAAGCTCTTGTAGTCAAATGAGATCTAGTTAATACAAAATGAAAGATAGAGCTATTCAGATGACTCTCAAACGATCATCTATGTTTCATCAGCTCAGTGGATCTCATCTCCATTGACTAAGTTCGTTATCTATCCAAGTCAGAGAACCATTGCCTTAGAATTGACATCTAGAGACATTTTAGATACCTTTGGCCTTCAGTAGGACTTGTGTCATGTCTACCAGTCCCATGTGAACACTTGATCTCAGGGTATTTCAAGTGGCACTAAAGAGACATATTTTCAGGCAATTGCATCACAGTATAGGTGTCAATATTAATGTGGAAATTTGACCATAGGACCAGCATTTTGCAGGATATTACCCTTGTTTTGAAGGGTTCATATTGAATTACAGAAAATAAGTAGTAATGTGAGAAGAGGAGATTAATATGACTTGTCAATAGCAGAGATAAGTACTTTCAAACTACTCAGAGCTATTCACTTTTCTTGCTGTCTATTTGTCCCTTTCTTATCCTGTTCCTATTTGCTTAGCAATTGTTGCTGAATGCAAGCTGAGCAATTTTTAACATGACCACAGGATCCTCGTTCTCAGAAGCAATGAATAAATGTCTCAAGGCATCACAGTTCACTTCTATGGATAAGCTCTGCTGAAGGTGGATCTCTGGCTCATTTGTTTCTCACATGTATATCAGTTATGTTATCATTGAGTCTACTGGTTGAGCATTCATTTTTGACTGGATGCAGCAACTATGCAACCATGCTGAGTCACCAACAAAAGCTGGTTATGCTTAACTTCAGTACAGCAGTGAGCGTTTCAAAAGTAATTTCTTTCCACCACTTCTTTTTTTTGTATCCCTTGTTAAGCAAAAGCAACCTGAGGAGAGAAATAGCTGTGCAGGTCTGTGTTTTCCCATTGAGAAATCAGATCCTGAAAAACTTTGTTGTATTGGTTGAAGTCATGTAGGAATATCAAATGACATTTTCTTTCTTGTCTCCATGCAGCTTTCAGAAGGGATCAATGCAGGCCAAGGACTAGGTATTGAAATCATTGCTACCTTCCAGTTGGTATTGTGTGTCCTTGCTACCACAGATCGGAGGAGGAATGATGTCTCAGGATCAGCACCTTTGGCCATTGGTCTCTCTGTTGCCTTGGGACATCTTCTTGCTGTAAGTTTTAACATTCACAATTGAAATCTGCAATGTCCCTCCTCAGGATGGGCCAATGAAGGCAGGAACATGATTGGCAGATGATAGTTTGTCCCTTCTTCCACTTCAGAGTCTAATTTGTTACTGCAACATTCTTTCTTGAGCCACGTGGCTATGCCCATGAGTGATGATGTTGGACACCTGGGAGGAATCACTGCAGTAGGACTTGTTTCCTTGGGGGCACAGGGCAGGTGCATGAAAAACAGTCTTTCCTCCTTTTTCTGAGGAAGAGTGGGTGGGATGAATAAAGCTGTTGTGAACGTTCCAACCATGCTTCAGGCAGCCACTTGCCCTCCTGTGTAATGAAGGTGCCACATGTGCATCAGTGCCTCACCACTATCTCTCTTTCCACCTCCTAGATTGATTACACTGGTTGTGGAATTAACCCAGCCAGATCTTTTGGCTCAGCACTGATTGCCAACAACTTTGAAAATCACTGGGTAAGTTAAATAACTTTGTTTAGCTTACATTACTCTGCATATGCATAGTCTACGAGATCAGGAACATTTAAACGCATATCATCAGCACCAAGTCAGTGAATTGTCATTTCAATTTCATTTAACAATCATCTCCTTTTGCTCCTGACCAGCCCTAGGAGATCACAAAGTGCTCAAGCTGAGTATGTTATGTTCAAAGAATTACAGTAGATGTTCTGTGGTTATTTCCCTTTATGTTTATTTGTTTCAAATATTTGAAACGTTAAAAGTCTCGTTACACAGAATCCTGTATTGAGTATTTATTGTTTAAACTGAGTTTGTAAAGTGCTACTGCTTAATCTTGGAAGACCTAATTTCAGAAGGTTCTTGAGCAGGTTTATAAACTGAAATGGATAATCCAACATTTGGAAGCTAATAAAATGTCCATTTAAAAGTTAAAGGTCTGCTTATGTGCTTTCATGCATTAATGTTCTGGAAACACTACGAATTTTATACTATTCCCTGTGGTTAAATGTGGTTAAAATGAGGAACTTCATGGAAGTTTGCTTATTTCATTAAAGCTCAATAAAGAAAACTGATATAAAAGCCGTAAATGAGCATGTGTTCTTAAATACTTAAAATGTAGCTTGTTCCAACTATCCTACTTACGATTTTGGCAGCCAGTTGCAGGGACATTCATCAAAATTTGATGGTAGTACAATAGGTTGTGAAAATGTTGGATATGGATGCCGTTTTACTCTAAAAGCTCAAAAGAAGGACACTGGGAAAATTTTGCCATTATCTCCTACTTAAAACTTCTATTAGGATACTAAGGTAATGTAACTATGTTAGTAGGTAGCATTTTCAGAATTTAATAGAAAAATCATTTTTCTCTGTACAGAGAGGAGATAAAGGTAATAATTCATATTCAACCACTGATACTGACGAATGAAAGAAAATGTGTTTTCAGACTCAGGAAATCTTTGGCCATCCCAATCCCTCAGAATCATCTACTATTTCTGATAAAATCAGCCTGTCTACTAAAATATTTTTATTACCTCTCCTTCCAAACTTTACTTGCCTTAAGGAATTAGATCAGTACAATTACAGCAATATCTCTAGCTAAATAACAGCCAGCAACAAATTAAGCCCCTAATTATGTTCTCACTAAGTATTACTTTCTAATTCACCTATCACTGAAAGTTAGTGGGAGAATGGAATCTAATGCCCTTGTTGCTGTTAGAAATTGTCTTCCCCTGCTAAAGCTATCTGGAGAAATAGTGATATTTTACCAGCAGATATTTAATTTTAAATATCAGAACTTGACAACATACTTGCAGTTATTAATCTCTGGGTCTATTGCCAATTCATAGTGAGAAAATTTTGGTTTCTTGTTCTGTGGTTAAGTAAATAATCAGGTGATATTTTATCAGGTGTAATTTTAATGTTTTCACTGTATATTTCATGGTGTAATAATAACTGATGTATTAACTAGCCTGGGAACTGTGTTTCAGATCTTCTGGGTTGGCCCAATCATTGGAGGAGCAAGTGCCGCCCTGATTTATGACTTCATTCTGGCTCCCAGAAGCAGTGACCTGACTGACCGCATGAAGGTGTGGACCAGTGGTCAAGTAGAAGAGTATGATCTGGAAGGAGATGATATGAACTCCAGGGTTGAAATGAAGCCAAAATAAAGAAACACAAGGAAAAAAAAGAAAAAAGAAAAAAAGCACATTGGTTTCCGAAGATTTTATCAGTGTTATAGACTCTTTGTAAACCAGCAAGCAGTACTTTATTTTTTAATTCAATATGGGTTTTGATTTTTTTGCCCCAATCCTAATAGAGTTTTTATATCTAGGGTTTTTCAATTACAAAGTCTTCAGGCCAAGAAGTCATTAGACACTTTTGCATAAGATAAATAAATTGGGCTGAAATTTAACCTCTCCCTCACCACCACCAAATTTTCTGGTGCATTAAGCACAGGTGGTTCTCCCAGAGCATCACTCAGTAATGAGAAGTAGTTCAAATGACCAGTCTATTTGCTGAAAGAATAGACTCCAAGGGTGGAGAACCACCTGCATCAGTAATAAGGACATAATGCCGTTATTGCCCAGAAGCATCTTTCGGAAGAAAAGGCCACTAAAAATTACTTGTTATGTAGAATTAACCATAATTTTCTAAATGATTGATAATCTGAGGAAGAGGGCCAGAAAAGTTAAGCAGGAAAAGAATCTCCAGAGTCTCAGGATCCATTTAGATTTTCTAGTGTTTCATTCTCCCTGAACCTACATCCAGCTTATTGTGAGAATATATGACAAAAAAATGTGTAGATATATTAATTCCTGGGAAGTAATAACTAGAATTCAAGTTGAAGAGTAGTAATAACAATGGCAACAAGAACAACAGGGTGCCAATATGTAAACAGGATCTGATTGTTCCTGTGACTACTCTGCTTTTGTTCATCTTACGTAATTTGAGTGTATGTTTTAAAGAAAAGCAGGAAAAAAAAAAGGCCCCTTTTCCTGACCCCATTCTAATTGCCACTGCTATGACATTCAGGGACAATGAATAAATATACACACAGTATATTTTTTAATGAGGGACAAATACATACCTGTGTGTAAGTCCATCCTGGGGGTTGTTGCTTTGTTTTTTATATATATATATA